AAGCACCTGTCAGCAGGTGCGGAGCCCCGAAGCCTCCCTGGAGCTTTGCAAAGGTGGCAGATGGCATGTGGGGCACAGCGGCAGGAGAGCCTGCTAGGAATTCTCCACGGACCTCCGTAAACCTGATGGAGGATGTATCAGGCCCCGCCAGCCCAGGAGGTTTCTGGGTGACCCTCAGGGCACCGACTCTGACAGCCTTTCCTTCCTACCCATGGGGAGAGGAGGTTGAAGTCAGAGCCAGGCCGACCAAGTCCAGGGCCCGGCCTCCTGCTCCCGTTTATGCCATCGCCCCACATCTCAGACCCCACCAGTTCACTCTTGCCACTTCTCTAGGCTAACGTGATTTCTCCTCCAGATACTTGTTGTGAGTCCCATCCACCCTTCAGACAAGGTTCAAGGCCTCCTTCCCCTGGAAACTGCAGGTTTCTTTGCCTGAAGCTACACACCTCCCACTTTCTCCCTTAAATACCCACTGTTCTCTAGGTATGTCATGTTACTCCCATTTTCTGTAAAGTGTTTTCTCATTAAGAAGTAGTCTAGGGACCAGCAGATGGCATGGTGGTTAAGGCACTGGACTCCCACATGGCCAACCATGGTTTGAGTCCCAGGCCTGGAAGCTTGTTTTCTCACTCCCCATGCCCCCTGGTGAGTACATATGTCTGATAGCAAACTTAAAACAATTATAATCAAGAGACCAGCAAGTGGTATGTTGGTTAAGGCTCTGGACACTCCCACATGGCCAACCACTGTTCAAGTCCTGGACCTGGTGGCTTATTTTCCTCTCTCTCTCTCTCTCTCTCTCTCTCTCTCTCTCTCTCTGTGTGTGTGTGTGTGTGTGTGTGTGTATGTGTCTGGTCTAATTTTTTAAAAACTGAATAAATAAGATTAAATAAATAATTCTTAAAAAAAAACAAAAAAAGGCCTATCCCAGACCAGCTCCATAGTGTAGTGGTAATACGCAGCTCGAGAAGCCAGATCCCACTTGGTGACCACATTTTGCATCTTCAGCCTGGTCAGCCTAACGCATGTGGAACACACAAGCATGCGAGTGTCTAAGATCTGTTAGGGGAGGGGATCAAATAGGGGCGAGATAAGGGAGCTGGCTTTCACACTTTACCTTACCTTACACACTTTTTTTTTTTGGAGAGGTTTTCACTACAGGGCACATGCGCTCACCAGACAGACAGAGAGAGACATAGAGACAGAAAGCGAGAAATCACCCCCCAAGGGGGATGGTCACGCTGCAATCCCTTCTCCTCCATTCTCCTCTCAGGATCTTGGGCACGCACGCACACACGCCCGGCGTGAGTTTTAAGCCACCGGGTCCAGGACGCGAACCGCGGTCCACTACGTGGAAGTCCAGTGACATAGTCATTATGCTAACTGCTGGTTCCCCCCTTACACACTTTTTATATTTTGGTTTTTGCTATAGGGCCCATGTGCTCATTAAAGAGAAACAGAGAGAGGGAAGGTGAGAAATCACCCCACGCAGGAATGGTCACCCTACAAACCCTTCTCCTCCATTCCTCTCTCCAAATTTTGGGTATGCATGCACACATGCCTGGCAAGATTTTCAAGCTTCCATTTTGGGACTCCAACTGTGGAATCAGCTGTGTGGGATCCAGCACCTTAACCACCTGCTGGTCCCTACCTTACACACTGAAAGTATTTATGTCTCTGTGTGTGTGTGTGTGTGTGTGTGTGTGTGTGTTTACAGTGATTATGTCTTAAACTGCTGTAGTCTTCCATGTGTTCCAGATTTGGACAAGAATTCAGGATACTCCAGGAAAATCTGCTGCATGCTTCAGTGCTGGGAAGACCCTCCATTACCAGGGCCAGGCCTGCTTTGGCAGTGGCTGTCGCTGACTCGGGGTGGGAGAAGACAGCGTCATTAAGTTCTCTGTGTGAGGGCCTTGAGTGAGACCTGTGCATGCAGGGGCCTCTGGGCTGCCTTTGTCTTGACCCAGGGTGTTCTGAGAGCCATGAAGTCAGAGACACAAGCAGCCTCTGCATCCCAGTGCGAATAGAACGAGAGTGGGATTTAGTGATTTGAAGACACGTTTGAACTGTTTACTTGGGGCTCCACGGGGCCCTGGAGTGCGGGACTGACAGGATTGAGTCAGCCAAGGCCTAGGTGAAGAGGGGTTGGCTGAGGCTGCTTGGAGAGCATCCAGCCCAGACTCAAAGAAGTTTCTCCAGTATTAGCCTCACAGCTTTTCCTGGAAGCAAGAGTCGTGGAGTTAGACTATAATACTAAACTCTTCTTGGGCGTCATTCCACAGCCTGGAGCTGGCGGGGTAACCACACACTCGTGCTCGTGCACACACACACACACATGCGCACACGCGTGAGTGACTCCCTCTGCCTGTGCGGTTGCAATGTTCCTTATCTGAGCTACATAGATTGCTTGGGGTCTGTCCCATGTAGAAGAGTGGGTATGAGTACCCTAAAGGAACCCTGACCCCAGGACCAGGTCAAGGTCTTCTCCAAGGTCCTCCCGGACCTTCTGTCTAGACTCCGCATCTCACTGTCCTGAGATTCCTCATCTGATTGTCTTCCCTGGAAGAAGGTTGGAAGCTGGATCTAACACCGCCAACACCAGCTCAGAATCTGGTACATGGCAAAGGCTCAGTGAGCGTTTCCTCAGTGAATAAGCACTGGGGTTCCGCTGCTGGCGGACTGTCTGAGCTCTGCCGGTCCAGGTCAAAACTCCAATACCGTGAGTGAGGCATTCTTGAATTTGTCTTTCCTGGTCCCTCATCCGCCATCAGACCTCAAGCAAGTCCCGTAACCTCTCTGAGCTTTGATTTTTCTCATTTGCCAAATGTGTCTTTGGGTAGCAGGTGAGTTTACCTAGGAGAGGGCTTTTCTATCCAGCGTCAGCCAGGGGCTCCCACGACTGGCGCATTCGTGGTGGTGAGCACATTATGGAACACAGCGCGTGGGCATCCTGTTCCTGCTGCCGCACTGGTGTTAGTGCCGGCCCTGTCTGCTCACTTTGGCTCCACCCACAGCCCCTCCCACCCTGCGTGGCCTCCACCTGGCTGGGCCCCCACACTGCCTGTCTGTCACATCTTAGGCACTGTTTTGCAAGGTCAGTGTTTTTTCAGGTGTGCTCCTCTCAGCTCCCATCTGGTCTGTGAGCTCCTGGTGGGCAAGGCCCCAGGTTTATGCCAGATTCTCAGGCCAGCGCAAACGGTGGATGCTCAGGCAGTGGTTTTTAAGAATTTGGGGTCTTGAACTCCTGAGGGTATGGAGACAAGGGGCAAAGTACCTACTCAAGGCACTGCAGTATAGGAGGACATGGGAGGTTGTCCATTCAAGAGCAACTGTCTGGTTCACTATCTCTTTCAAAAGACTCAGTGGGGTTTCTTTCGGCCCCTGCTGGATTCTGTCAACCAATTTATCTCAAAAGGAACCAGAAGGCTCAGCTGAAGATTTGCCGCTCTAGAGCCTGGAACAACTGACGGCTTCTCCCAGAGCCTCAGTTTTGCCTGCAGAGAAATGGAGAAGGTGGTACCTGCCTGCTGCCTGCTACCTGCTTCCTGGGGGGGGTTCTTTGATGGTTGCAACTTTTCACTTTAAAGGGCTCAGATGAAAGGCCGTGATGGGATGAAAGGGTCTGGGGGCATGTTAAGTTTCTTCTGGGGTTTTGAAGGCCTGAGAAGCACCAGAGGAAGTGGTCAGCTGACAGATAGTTGTGAAGCCACCCAGAGGGTGATGCCGGTGGGGAATTAGCATGCCAATCAACCACACCTAGGGCTGGAGGGCGGTGGGGGAGCCCTTATCAGGGATAAGAATTTGTCATTTCCCAGAGGAAGGAGGCTTGGGGCTACATGCTGGGGAGACTGACGGAGAATGGAGGCCAGAAAAGCAGCCTTGGTGACCTTGGGCCAGGCTTCTCCCCCTGTGAGCCTGTTTCTAGATGTCTGACAAGAGGAGACAGAGCTCAGTGGTTCCCAAACATGGCTGCAGGTCACAATCTCCCAGGGAGAATTTTTAGAACCTGATGCCAGGCTGTACCCCAGATGGAGTTTCTGGAGAGTGAAACCCCAATGCCAGAAGTTTCTGCAGGTCCTCAGGGCAGGCTCTATATGCAGCCTAGTTTGAGGATTGGAATGGAGGAATTCTAGAATTCTGTGATTCCATAATCAGAACTCTATTTCCTACCAGATGAGGAGGCTCTGGGGAATCCGGTGGGGATTTTGGAAATTCAACTTGTATGTCTGCATCTTTCAGAGCACTCCGTGTGTATAGAACTCAATTATTAATTTTGTTTCCCAGTTTTTGGTTCAGTTGATTTTTTATGTTAAAAGTTTATTTTCTTATGTCTTACATTTAATCACTGTACATCACCACAGCGTACGAAATTCATTCTCCCAGCATAAGTACATTGCATATCAGTCCAGTCAAAGATATTACATACACATTATCAGTAACAGATAATTTTCCATCTTTTTTTTTTTTGAGAGATTTTCACTGTAGGGCGCGTGCGCTCGCCAGACAGACAGACAGAGACATAGAGAAAGAAAGCGAGAAATCACCCCCCACGGGGGATGGTCACGCCGCAATCCCTTCTCCTCCATTCTCCTCTCGGGATCTTGGGCACGCACGCACATGCGCCCAGCGTGAGTTTTAAGCCACCGGGTCCGAGACACGAACTGTGGTCGACTACGTGGGAGTCCAGCGACATAGCCATTACGCTAACTGCTGGTTCCCATAATTTTCCATCTTTGTGTCCATTAAATGTTTTGCTCTTTTCCCCCTTGATTGCCTCCCTCCCCCCAATAATAATTAATTTCCCACCATTTCTCAATTGTACATTAGCATCAGAATAGAGAAGAACTGAAATCTACACATCATCTTTGCCAGGTTTTTTTTGAGTCAGCTTTTATTCTCTCCGTTCACTGATTATTTGTTAAAAATCAGCTGCACGCAGATAATCCCATCACACGATGTTGAGTTTTCTCTTTTCTTTTCTCCTGACCCTCTTTAGTGGAAACTTTAGTGAAGAGTGAAATAGAACCTAAAAGCCAGTAGCCAGAAGAGAGGAGGGTTTTTAATAGCCTGAAGTTTGGCCTCTCACCTTCTCTCTGCCTCAGAGACTCCAAGTCAGTATTTCTCATCCGTGCCCAGGGTAGACTTGGAGGGGCACTGGTTTCGGATTCTCACCAAGTGGGACTCTGGACCTGCTGTTGCAGTTCCTTGAGTGCAGAGAGGGGACCTGCAGAGCCTAAGAGAGGTGACACACAGGGATCATTCTAGAAGGATTACCTTGGGATTCTTACCACTTCCTGTACAGTGCAGAGGTCACCTGGCTCAGGGAGCACTCAGGGAATGGACAGCTAAGGGGAAGGGACAAAGAGTAAGTACTGTGTCTGGAGTTGTAGGGACAGAGGGGACAGACAGGGTGGCCAAATACCCATTGTTTTTTTCATTTGTTCCAGGTTCTTTGGTACCTGGCCTTCATGCTACTAGAGTGAATGCTTGTCCTCCTCGATGTTCCAGAATTTCTTCCCAGTCCCAGTGTCCGAGGCTTGTGAGTTATACCCCGGTTGTACGTGACATCGCGCAAGGCCTGGTAGACAGAAGGTGGCCTTCAACTACCCAGGCATCTCCTCTCACTTCCACCCTTCTGCTGGCAATGCGACCGCATTTTCACATGCCCACCAGGAAGTGGTGCAGTGGGTGTGACTGGATCCACATGGGAGGGTCTGAGTCTGTGTCCCAGGGCTTCCCTATATTTACTGTGTGCCCGTGTGTGCCCGTGATATGGGCTGGCCGAGGCTGAGGGTGCATCACAGCATGGAGGACCCGTTGAGTCTCTCTCTCTCATGGGAGAAATAAATAACTAAACTAAACTAAACTAAACACTCAGGATCGACTACATTGGGCTTCTATTTAAAAAATTTTTCAGGACAATAGGCAGTGTGGAGTTTAAGGCAACTGGATCCCCAAAGAAGCTGCTCAAAGTTAGACTACTGCTCAGAGAGACACCCCCTCACCAATTCCAAAACTCTTCCCAGGTTTACCTGGTCCTCCGTGTTTTCTGTCACCTCTGAAGGTGAGTCTAGGACCGGGGAACCCATCTTTCTCTAATAAACTGACATGTGGTAGCATCCAGGTGGGGCATGAGGCAGGAGGAGGGCCGGGTATTCTGAGCAGCGAGCTGGGTGGGACTTTGGGTCAGAGATGGTTCCTCCATTGGCTGGTAGAGACGGGCCGAATCTTATTCTCTCGTATTTCTCTTCCTTGTAGTGTGGGCCCAGGACACCTGGGTTTCTCCCAACTCCGTGATTCAAACCTTTATCTAGGTAGCACTGGGAGAAGGAAGGATGAATAAGAGAGTTTTTGATTGGCCAAACTTCAGTCAGGCTCCTGAAACTTCTAGGACCCCCTGCGTACTTCCTTGTAAAATGCAATTTCGGGAACCAATAGTTAGCGTAATGGCTATGTCGCTGGACTAGTCGACCGCAGTTCGCATCCCGGACCTGGTGGCTTAAAACTCACGCCGGGCGCGTGTGTGTGCGTGCCCAAGATCCCGAGAGGAGAATGGAGGAGAAGGGATTGCGGCATGACCATCCCCCTGGGGGGGTGATTTCTCGCTTTCTGTCTCTCTGTCTTTCTCTGTCTGTCTGGTGAGCACACGTGCCCTATAGCAAAACAACTCTAAAAAAAAAAAAATGCAGTTTCAGTGAAGAACCAACTCTAAAAAAAAAAAATGCAGTTTCAGTGAAGAACCCTCCACCCTCACTATCTGGGCACCTACAGTAGCTAATCAGCTCCTCATCTCCACCACGCCCCAGGTGGTGTCTGATCATTCCAGCCTGTCTTCAGCAAGAATCCTCTCAGGATGCACTATATTTTTGGTAAAGAATTATTTATTTTATTTTATTTATTTATTCGTTTATTTTAATTTGACCAGAGAGAGACACAGAGAGAAAAAGAGAGCGGGGAAAGTGAGAAAGTAAGCCACCAGGCCCAGGACTCAAACCGTGGTAGGCCATGTGGGAGTGTCCAGCGCCTTAACCACCACACCACCTGCTGGTCCCTATATTGTGTTTCTTTTGTAGGAGAAATAAATTATGCAAGGGTCCGCTGTGTTTGGAATTGAGCCCAATCTCTCTCCCCAACTGCAAAATTCAGTTGCCTCAGTCCCAATACCTATTGCGATGGTCATGAATAAAGGCCTTCTTACTGTGCTTCAGCAACTCTCATTGAATAATTTTTTCTTTTTTCTTTTTCATTGCCAGAGGCTGCACTTGTGTGTGTGTGTGTGTGTGTGTGAGAGAGAGAGAGTTTTCTCCCGCGGGCATGGTCACACAGCAATTCCTTCTTCTCTAATTCTCCATCCTGTTGGGAGTTAGGGCATCCATGCACGTGCACCCAGTGTGTTTTTCAAGACTCCTGGGGCTGGAATTCAAATCATAGTCAGTCATGTGGGGTCCAGTTCCCTTAACCACTAGGCTATAGGGCCAGCCTGAATAGTTTTTTCTTTAATATTCCCAGCACAACCACCTTCTGAGACATGGCCCCCCTGCCCTTTCCAAGGTGTGCCAAGAGACCTGCAGGGGTGAGTCCATCATGCCTGTTTGCTGGGCCCTCCACCACTCAAGGTTCCAGTGGGTGCCTACTCCCTGTTAAATAAACAGGACAACATTGGCTCCTGGAAGCCGAGACCCCAACGAAAAGCTCTAAATGTACTATTATGGAAACAAGTCCTCACAAATATTGTGAAATGAAAAAGGCAAATTGCCAAACAGGATGTATACTAAAGCACATGTGTATTTTTTTAATAATAATTTATTTAATATTATTGTTCAACTTGCGATAGGGCATTTGCACTCACCAGAAAGAGACACAGAGAGAGAAAGAGAAAGAGACAAAGCAAGCTGCCAGGTTCAGGACTTGCACCACAGTTGGCCATGTGGGCGTCCAGTGCCTCAACTACATGCCACCTGCATGTATGTGTGTTTTTAAAAGAATCTACCCTGTCTGTATCCACCCATTTGGATATGCATAGAAAAAATTGTAGGGAAGGAAACACAAAAACTCTTACCTCTGCAAAGTGGGATGGGGGAGGAAAATTTTACTTTTCATCCTTATACCCTTCAGTACTGTGTGAATCTGTTTTTCTTTTTCTTTTTTTTTAAATAATCATTTTGTTTTTTATTTATTCATTCATTTATTTCATTTTTTATTTTGACCAGAGAGGGACAGAGCAAGAGAGAAGGAGAGAGTGGGAAAGTGAGAGAGCAAGCCTCCAGGGCCAGGACTTGAATCATGGTCAGCCATGTGGGAGTCCAGCATCTTTAACCACCACGCCACCTCACCACGCCACCTGCCGGCTCCTCTTCTTTTTGTTTTAGAGAGATTTTTGCTATAGAGTTTATGTACCCACCAGAGAGTCAGAGAGAGACAGAGAGAGAAAAAGTGAGAAATCACTCCCTGGGGGGAATGACCACACTGCAATCCCTTCTCCCCCATTCTCCTCTCAGGATTTTGGGAACACATACACACACATCCAGCGTGAGTTTCAAGCTGCCAGGTCCAGGACTTGAACTGCAGTCAACCATGTGGGAGTCTTATGCCTTAATCACTAGGCCACCTGCTGGCCCCTGTGCGAATCTTTCCTATTACAAATATGGGTTCTTTTGTGATTAATTAAAAAGCAAACATACTTGAGGCCTGCCCCATAGCCTAGCAGTTAAGGGAGCTAGATCCCATGTAGTCCACACTGTTGAAATCTTGGCCCAACAGCTTGAGAAACATGCTGAGCTTATGTGCCTGTGTGCAGGCCCCAAATCTTGACAGGGTGCAGAAACGGAGAAGGGATTTCAATGTAACTGTGACACATTGGAAGTTGCTTTTTCTTTTTTTCTCTCTGTCTCCATTTCTCTGTCTCTCTCTGGAGAACACACACGCCCTCTGGCATTTAAGAAAAGTCAATATATTCGAAGTTAATAAGGGGGCCAGCAGTTTGTGTGGTGGTTAAGGTGCTGGATTCCCACATGGCCAACCATAGTCCTGGACCTGGTGGCTGGGTTTCTGACTCCCCCCCCCACACCACCCCCATCTCTCTCTGTTGAGCACATGTACCCTATAGCAAAATTCTTGTAGCAATTGGGTTGTTGGAAAAGTCGTGACACATTTTTTCATGGAAAAACATAGAAAAATACATGATGGCTTTTCTTTTTCTTTTTTTTTTTTTTTCTTTAGAGATTTTTGCCTGAGGGTGCTCACCAGACAGACAGACACAATGAGAGAGAAAGTGAGAAATCAGTCCCCAGGGGGATGGCCGTGCTGTAATTCCTTCTCCTCCTGGGCTCTTGGACACACACATGCACACACATGGTGTGAATTTTTTTTTTTAAAGAATTATTTTATTGGGGCTGACAGGTGGCATGGTGGTTAAGAGCACTGAACTCCTGCATGGCCGACCACAGTTCAAGTCCTGGACCTGGCAGCTTGCATTCTTACTTTCCCCCTCTCCCTCTCTCTCTCACTCTCACTCTGTCTCTCTCTGGTCAAATTAAAATGAATAAATAAAATGAAATAGAAATAATTCTTTAAAAAAATAAAGAAAGAATTATTTTATTTAACTTTATTTATTTATTTATTTTCATTTGACCATAGAGGAGCAGAGTGAGGAAAGAGAGAGAGAAAGAAAGTGAGAAAGCAAGTCACCAGGTCCAGGACTCGAACTGTAGGAGTCCAACACCCTTAACCATCATGCCATCTGCCACCCTGCCCTCCCCCCCCCGGTGTGATTTTTGAAGGCACCAGGTCAGGGACTCAAACCACAGAAGGCCATGTCGGAGTCCACTAACCACTATACTATCTGCTGGTTCCATGTCATGACTTTTCTGATGACCTAAAAATAATAAATAAATAAATAATTTTTGTTTTGAGAGGTGTTTGCCTTAGGGCACATGCATTTACCATGGGAAGAGAGAGAGACAGAGACAGAGACAATGAGAGGGAAAGCAAGAAATCACTCCCTAGAAAGGATGGCCATTCCATAATCCCTTCTCCATTCTCTTCCCAGAATCGTTCAGGCACACACATGAACCCAGGGTGATTTTCAAGCCACCAGGTCTAGGACTGAAGCCATGGTCATCCAGTGATGTAACTGCTATGCCATCTGCTGGCCTCAATAAAAAATAAAAAAGAAGTTAATGAGGAATAAAATATATTCTGGACCAGCAGGTGGCACGGAGGTTAAGGAAACAAGATCTCACATTGTCAACTCTGCTGGTAGCTTGAAAATCACACTGCGTACATGTGTGTGGGTACCTGCTCGAAAAATCCCAAGAGAAGACTGGAGAAGAAAGGACTGTGGCTTGGCTATCCCCCAGGACAAGGGGGAGACTCTCACTTTCCCTCTCTGTCTCTCTGTCTGATGACTGCAATACACTGGCAATAAGTGTATCTTCCTTTATTAATGGTCAATATTAATGATTAATGATTAAGATTTATATGTGAGATTCAATAGTAGATATATTTATTAAAGTAATTGTGTATCTAAATTTAATTATGAATATTAATAAATAAGATTCACAAGGAATAAAAACAATAACAAAAAAATATTACCTGACCTCACTATGTAGCCAGTATGTGGTTCTGTTCTCTGAGACTCTCACTGCCTCCACACCCTAACCTAACACAACAACTACCAGAGCTCTGCTTCTGGGATGACGCTAAAAAAAATGTTTTTGAAAAATAAGTGGATGGGGGAACCAGCAGTTAACATAATGGCTATGTCGCTGGACTCCCACGTAGTCGACCAAGGTTCGCGGCCCGGACCCGGTGGCTTAAAACTCATGCCAGGCACGTGTGCGTGTGTGCCCAAGATCCCGAGAGGAGAATGGAGGAGAAGGGATTGCACCATGCACCATGGCCATCCCCTCTGGGGGGTGATTTCTCGCTTTCTGTCTCTCTGTCTCTCTGTCTGTCTGGTGAGTGCACGCGCCCTGTAGCAAACACCTCTCCAAAAAAAT